CCCGCAGCAGCAGCCGCGGCCAACCCCCCGGCGGAGATGAAGGCGGACTCCGACTGCCTCTGATTTTTAACTCCTCTCTTCATTCAGGAGCTCCTTCTCCACTGGTTATCAATATGGCAGTGCCGTTACCCCCAGCGTCCACTGCTTCAAAAATGGCGTCACTGAACCGGGTCCGAGCTCTGGCGTTGATTTTCTTGACTGTCACTGGCTGCTGCGTCGCTCCGACCAGCGGCAAGGAAGGGTCCGAGGAGACTGTCATCATCGGACTGCGACTGGAAGACACGGACGACATTTCCTTCATGGACAGGGGCTACCTGCGGGTAAGTGAGCGCTCTCGGGTGAAGCTGAGGGTGTACGGACAGAACATCAACAACGAGACCTGGTCCAAAATCGCCTTCACGGAACACGAGCGGAGCCGCAGCATTGACAGCTCGTCCGGGGAGAACGAGAGCGAGGAGGAGACGTCTGGCTTGCATCCCTGCGGCATCAGGACTTCGGATATAATTATTTTACCCAACATCATCCTGAACCGAAAAACGTCAGGAATAGTTGAAATCGAGGTGAAACCTCTGCGGAAAACGGAGAGGAGTAAAGCCTACTACCTCTGCATCGCCACTGCCACACCGGCCGCGGCCGGGATGCACGACCCGTGGACGGAGAACACTTGGATCTACCACGATGGGGATGACACCAAAGTGATTGTGGTGGAGGAGAAAAAGTTCCTGCTGCCTTTCTGGCTGCAGGTCATCTTCATCTCCATGCTGCTCTGCCTGTCGGGCATGTTCAGTGGCTTAAACCTGGGGCTCATGGCCCTGGACCCCATGGAGCTCCAGATAGTCCAGAACTGCGGCACGGAGAAGGAGAAGAATTACGCCAAAAAGATTGAGCCGGTGCGGAGCCAGGGGAATTACTTGCTCTGTTCGCTCCTGCTCGGTAACGTGCTGGTGAACACCACGCTCACCATCCTGCTGGATGACATCGCGGGTTCGGGCTTGATCGCCGTGGTCATGTCCACTATTGGAATAGTCATTTTCGGGGAGATTGTACCCCAGGCCATCTGCTCCAGACACGGCCTGGCTGTCGGTGCCAACACCATCCTCCTCACCAAGTTCTTCATGCTGCTCACCTTCCCTGCGTCCTACCCGGTGAGTAAGCTGCTGGACTACCTGCTGGGACAGGAGATAGGAACCGTGTATAACCGGGAGAAGCTTCTGGAGATGCTGCGCGTTACGGATCCGTACAACGACCTGGTGAAAGAGGAGCTGAACATCATTCAGGGCGCTCTGGAGCTCAGGACTAAGACGGTGGAGGACGTAATGACGCCGCTCAGAGATTGCTTCATGATCCCGGGAGACGCCACCCTCGACTTTAACACCATGTCTGAAATTATGAAGAGCGGCTACACGCGCATCCCTGTCTTTGAGGGAGAACGGTCTAACATAGTGGACCTGCTCTTCGTGAAGGACCTGGCCTTTGTGGATCCGGACGACTGCACGCCGCTCAAAACCATCACTCGGTTTTACAGCCACCCGCTGCACTTTGTGTTCAACGACACCAAGTTGGATGCCATGTTGGAGGAGTTCAAAAAAGGTGAGAGTTCCTGTCTTTAGATCATCTGAGCAGGTGTTTACATGGAGCAGACCACGTGTTCCACTCTCAGCGGTTTGATGTGTTCGTTTACAACCATCTTGACCTGTCACCTCTTCATCCTTCCTTTTTGGGACAGAGGTTAATGATTTAATCAACGCTTTAAATTAGGGGAAAAAAATCATCACTGAGTCCAGCTGAGTCACCAATCAACGCTTTAAATTAGGGGAAAAAAAATCATCACTGCAGGCTGTTAGTCATCTGAACGTGATTTGTTTGTAATTTAACTAGTGACAGGTTAACTAGGTGGATGATCGGTTGTCTTCGTTTAAAATAAGCATCAAATTCCAGATTTTATGGACTACTGAGTCCAGCTGAGTCACCCCAACTCTATTGTCACTCCTCTACAAATTGGTACATGGATAGAAGTGGGTCATTTCATGTGGGCTGCAAAAAGGCACATCAGCAGTTCAAGTACATAAAAGAGTATTAGAACGGAGCAGTGTGTTCAAAATAGCATGAATATATGAACATGAAAAGTGACAATCAAAGTATGTGAAGTGACAAGTCCACATCACCACTCAGCTGCACTTGCCACAGCCTCACTATTTAGATGGTCCGAGGGCGAGGAGAGGGTGGAGGTGGCTTCATTATCTTTTCTCCATCACTTCCATTCACTGTTAATGTTCACACAGTTTTCCCCCTTCTCTCTCCCTCCTTACTCCTCTCTCTCTCTCTCTCTCCTCCTCCTCTTACCTTGCTCCCATTCATTCACACCTTTCACTCCCTCCCTCTCTGCCCCTCTCTATCTCATATTAGTGAATGCTGTAGGACATGTGGGAATGGTGTAACAGCCACACAGAGGTTATCAGGTGGGGGCATCTTGTTTGAGAACCTGCTTAAACCCCTCTCACTCTCTGGTGCTTGCCTCTCTCTCTCTCAGTGATGGTGGCGATAACTCCTTCTGCCCAGCCCTGGAATGCAGTTGTGTGGATAATGAATAACAG